CACACACACACGTACACACACACATGTACACGCACACACACGCACACACACGTACACACACACGTACACACACACACGTACACACACACACACGTACACACACACGTGAGGTGGCCTCGCTCACGATGACGTTTCGATGTCACCTTCACCGCACCCCGCACAGAGAGAGCGTGGGGAGAGACGCGCGGAGGTGGAGGAGGTGGAGAAGGTGGTGGAGGTGGTGGTGAGGTTCCGGCAGGCAGGGCGTGGTGGTGCGCGTCAGCGCCGCTGGAGACGGACGTGGGTCAACCCCCCCGTGTCCGTGCCCGAGAACCAGCGTGGCCCCTTCCCCAAGCTGCTGCTGCAGGTGCGGCGCTGTGCGCAGAGCGCTCCCATTCTCGCTGTCGTCTAGCCTCATCCTAGACTAGCCCTAGACTAGCCTTAAACTAGGCCTAAACTAACCCTAAACTAGCCCTAGACTAGACCTAGACTTGCCCTAAACTAACCCTAAACTAGGCCTAAACTAGGCCTAAACTAGCCCTAAACTAACCCTAAACTAGGCCTAAACTAGCCCTAAACTAGGCCAGAACTAACCCTAAACTAGGCCTAAACTAGGCCTAAACTAACCCTAAACTAACCCTAAACTAGGCCTAAACTATGCCTAAACTAGCCCTAAACTAACCCTAAACTAGGCCTAAACTAGCCCTAAACTAGGCCTAAACTAACCCTAAACTAGGCCTAAACTAACCCTAAACTAACCCTAAACTAGGCCTAAACTAGCCCTAAACTAGGCCTAAACTAACCCTAAAATAACCCTAAACTAGGCCTAACCTAACCCTAAACTAGGCCTAAACTAACCCTAAACTAGCCTTAAACTAGGCCTAAATTAGGCCTAAACTAGGCGTAAACCAGCCCTAAACTAACCCTAAATTAGGCCTAAACTAGCCCCTGCCTAGGGTTAGGCCCCGTGTAGAAGGTGGAGGTGGTGGAGCTGGATCAGACAGACGAGGAAGAGGAGGAGGTGGAGGAGGGGGAGGAATCCGTAGAGCCGGGAAGCTCTTTTCTATCAGCCACGGGGGGGTGACACAAACACGCCCAGCGGCGGTGCAGAGTCCAGGGATAGTTCAACAAACACACGGGACGCGGACGGCCGTGATGTCACACACTCACTCATTCACTCACACACTCACTCACACTCACTCACACACACACTCACTCACTCATACACACACTCATACACTCACTCACTCATACACTCACACACTCACACACTCACTCACACACTCATACACACACTCACTCATACACTCACTCACTCATACACACACTCACTCATACACTCACTCACTCATACACTCACACACTCACTCACACACTCACACACACACTCACTCACACACTCACACACACTCACACACTCACACACACTCACACACTCACACACACTCACACACACAATCACACACTCACTCACACACACACTCACACACACACTCACTCACACACTCACTCACACACACACACACTCACTCACACAACGCGGATGACCGAGGGTGAGCCGGGCGTGAGAGTGCCGAGACTAGTCCGGCGTAGGAGCCCCCCACTCCGCCAACCGCCCCCCACTCCGTCACGGCCCCCCACTCCGCCAATGCCCCCCACGGCAGGTGAAGTCCAACGCTGTGGGCGTGGACGTGCGCTACGCCTTGGCGGGGGAGGGCGCTGACCGACAACCCACGGGGCTGTTCGTCGTCGACGCCGCCACGGGGAGAGTGTCAGTCACCGCGAGCCTGGACCGCGAGGTGATCGCTCAGTATCGCGTACGGAGCACACTACACGACTATACACTATATACTACACAATATATACTACACTATACACTACACTATACACTACACTATACACTACACTACACGACACTATACACTATATACTACACAATATATACTACACTATACACTACACTATACACTATATACTACACACTATATACTACACTATACACTACACTATACACTACACTATACACTACACTACTATACACTACACTACTATACACTACACTATACACTACACTACTATACACTACACTACTATACACTACACTACTATACACTACACTACTATACACTACACTACTATACACTACACTATACACTACACTCTACACAGCTGCACTCTGCTGCTGCTGTTGTTGTTGTGACTGCAGCTGCGCTGCTTCGCCGTCGACCCGACTGGAGGTTTTGTGGAGGATCCCGTTGACATCGTCATTGACGTCATCGACGTCAACGACAACCGCCCCAAGTTCACCAGAGACGTCTTCCACGGCAGCCTCACGGAAGGATCGCCACGAGGTGACGATGATGATGGTGACGATGATGATGGTGACGATGGTGATGATGGTGACGATGGTGATGATGGTGATGATGATGGTGATGATGACGGTGACGATGGTGATGATGATGACGATGATGACGATGATGATGATGACGACGATGATGATGATGATGACGATGATGACGATGATGATGATGATGACGATGATGATGATGATGATGACGATGATGATGACGATGACGATGATGATCATGATGACGATGGTGATGATGATGACGATGATAATGGCGATGATGATGATGGCGATGATGATGATGGTGATGACGATGATGACGATGACGACGATGGCGAGGATGATGATAGAGGGAATGGCTCCGACTCCCGGCCACGTAGTTTTACCCGGGCCCGCTCACCATCATGAAGGTCCTTAATGATTGTGAACAGAGGGTCAGGCACTCCGAAAGCACGAAGAACAACCCAGAGCCCAGGCCTACTGATGGTATCATAAGCCTTGACCAGGTCAATAAAGCAGAGATGTAGGTCTTGTTGGAACTCCACAACTCTGCTGTAGCAGGCGGACAGAAAATATGGCATCTGTGCAGGACCACCCTTTCCTGAAACCGCATTGGGGCTCCGCACGCCTCTCCTCAGTGTGCCTAGCAAGGCGATGTTGAATAATCCTTGCCAGGACCTTTCACGGTACACTGAGGAGTGAGATGCCCCTGTAGTTGTTACAGTCTGTGCGGTCCCCCTTCTTAAAGAGGGGGACCACCAGGGCATCCTTCCAATCCTGCGGAACCCGTCCAGTGGTCCAGACTGTTGTTATGATGTCATGTAGGGCAGTCTGTGCACAAAGGCCACCCTCCCTCAATATTTCACTTGGGAGATCATCTCTGCCAGGTGCCTTTCCTGGTCTCAGACTCCGGATCGCCTTCAGTACTTCCTCAACAGATCTCAACTCAGCTAGCCACTCAAAGGGGGGGTGACTTCTTCCAATATTTGAGGCACCGCAGCCTCAGCAGGGTCATCCCCACTTTGTCCCACGTTTTTTCTAGGCTGAGGGATTTGCCCTCCCCCAGGACCTCAGAAATGCTCAACAAATCTGCCAACCTGTTCCTGGGGGACGGAGATTGGATCACCATTCTTTCTCTTAATGATGGTAATAGGTGTGGCGCTGCAGATTACTTTTTTGATGGAATTAACGAGCGATTTGTGATCACGGGCCATTGAGGCAGACTCCATCTCCTCAGCAACCCGCGACCACCACCCATCCTTGCAGCACCTCACGGCTCTCCGAACCTCCGAGTGAAGGCTGCGGTAAGCCTCCTCATTCTCCGACGTGGGATGCTGTAGCCGATGAGAGCGGGCCTGTCGCCTTTTTCTCAGCCAGCTTGAACACCTCCTCTGTCAGCCAGGGTCTCTCGGGAGGTCTGGAACGTGTACCTAAAGCAGCCATTGCAGCTGCATGAGCCACAGTCCTAAACTTCGCCCATTTCCCCTCGATATCAGGAGGAGTCAGGGATGATGCCAACCCCAGCCGCAAGCGATGATAAAATTCTCGCTTGCAACTTTTATCAGCTAGCTAAGACCAGGCCATTAAGGGTTTGAATGAGGTGCTGGGTGTACACTCACCACCGGAGTGGAAGAATGTCACTTACACACTCATTCACTCACACACTCATACACTCATTCACTCACTCATTCACTCACTCACTCATACACTCATTCACTCACTCATACACTTACACACTCACTCACATACTCACACACTCATACACTCACTCCCTTATACACTCACACACTCACACATTCATACACTCACTCCCTTATACACTCACACACTCACACACTCACACATTCATACACTCACTCCCTTATACACTCACTCACACACTCACACACTCACTCATACACACTCACTCACACACTCACTCACTCACTCCCTTATACACTCACTCACACACTCACTCACACACTCACTCATACACACTCACTCACACACTCACTCACTCACTCACACACTCACGCACTCACACACTCATACACTCACTCGCTCACACACTCACTCATACACTCACTCAACAACAACCGCCATTCGCCACTAAGTGGCGGTGACGTCACCACGACGCTTGTGCCAGGTCATGTGCACCTTGAGGCCATGTGAAGTGTCGAACGCCCGCTGGCAGGAGGTCACGGGGCAGACCCAGGTGCCACGGGTCGACTGACTGAGATGACCGAGATGACTGGCTCATGCACCACCTGTGCCCCCTACTGTGCCAACTTGCTGTGCTTTAGCCACCCGGTGCTCCGCTCATTGTTGTGAGCGTCGCTCCTCCGCCCTCCGTTGTTGGAGGGCGACTGCCTCCAACTGCCCAGTAGCGTCCTTCACGAGCCTCCTCCACAGAGGCCGATCTTGATACCGTTGGTACCAGTCATCGGCAAGTCCACTCAGCTCCACGTCCTCCTGTACCACATCACTCCATCTCTTCTCTAGCCCGTGCCGCGCCCGTTTAGCCCCCTCGATCCGGCCGAACAAAAGCTGTTTAGGCATGCGGTGGCTGGGCATGCGGGCTACATGACCCAGCCAACGCAGCCTTGCCTGCCGGAGGAGCTCACCGATGGGACTTTGCCCAGATCTTTCAAGGATTTGTGAGCTCCTCACACAATCCAACCTGGTTAATCCCAGGATGGATCGTAGGCAGGCCAGCCTAAATGTTTCCAACCGACGAAGATTCTCCATTAGGGGGTGTCCACGTTTCGCAAACGTAGAGAAGGGAGGGAATGACCGTGGCCGAGAAGACCCGAAGCTTCGTGCGGAGCGACAGACAAGGTAGCTTCCACACAGCGTTACGCAACCGATGAAAAGATATTGCCGCTCGACTGATTCGGAGTGAGACCTCTGCTGTTAAACTGGAGCCGGTCATAAGCACACTGCCCAGGTATGGGAAACTCTCCACTCTCTCCACTACTGCCCCATCACACACACACTCACTCACTCCCTTATACACACACTCACACACTCAATCACACACACACTCACTCACTCCATCCCCTCCCTCTCCCACCTCCCCCTGTGGCCGTGTCAGGCACCTTCGTGATGAGGGTGGAGGCGAGTGACCTGGACGACCCCTTGACGCCCCACGGAGCTCTCCGCTACGACATCGTGGGGCAGTCCCCCCCCATGGGGACCGCACAGCACAGCCTGTTCCACATCGACCGTCGCACGGGCATCATCACCACCCGCACTGTGGTCGGGCTGGACCGAGAGGTGGGTGTCACGTGTGTGTGTCTGTGTGTGTGTCTGTGTGTGTGTGTGTGTCTGTGTGAGTGTGTGTCTGTGTGTGTGAGTGTGTGAATGTCTCTGTGAGTGAGTGTCAGTGTGAGTGAGTGTCTGTGTGAGTGTGTGAATGAGTGTCTGTGTGTTTGTGTGAGTGTGTGAGTGAGTGTGTGAGTGTTTGTGTGAGTGTGTGAGTGAGTGTGTGAGTGTGTGTTTGTGTGTGTGTGAGTGTCTGTGTGTGTGTCTGTGTGTGTGTCTGTGTGTCTGTGTGTGTGTCTGTGTCTGTGTGTGTGTGTGTCTGTGTGTGTCTGTGTCTGTGTGTGTCTGTGTCTGTGTGTGTCTGTGTCTGTGTGTCTGTGTTGGTGTGTCTGTGTGTGTGAGTGTCTGTGTTGGTGTGTCTGTGTGTGTGTGTCTGTGTGTCTATGTGTGTCTGTGTTGATGTGTGTGTCTGTGTTGGTGTGTCTGTGTGTGTGTGTGTCTGTGTGTGTGTCTGTGTGTGTGTCTGTGTGTGTGTCTGTGTTGATGTGTGTGTTTGTGTCTGTGTGTGTGTCTCTCTGTGTGTCTGTGTGTGTGTGTCTGTGTGTGTGTGTCTGTGTGTGTGTCTGTGTGTGTGTCTGTGTGTCTATGTGTGTCTGTGTTGATGTCTCTATTGGTGTCTATGTGTGTCTGTGTGTGTGTCTGTGTGTGTGTGTGTCTGTGTTGATGTGTGTGTGTCTGTGTGTGTGTCTGTGTGTCTATGTGTGTCTGTGTTGATGTGTGTGTTTGTGTCTGTGTGTGTCTGTGTGTGTCTCTGTGTGTTGTATGTCTATGTGTGTGTTGTGTGTCTGTGCGTGTGTCTGTGTGTGTGTCTGTGTGTGTCTGTGTGTGTGTCTGTGCGTGTGTCTGTGTGTGTGTGTGCCGCTGTGTGTAGAGAGTGGCGCGCTTCTCGCTGGTGGTGATGGCTTCGGACATGGAGGGAGACGCCAGAATCAGTCTCTCAACCACGGCCACCGCCATCATCACCATCACCGACATCAATGACCACGCCCCCGAGTTCACGAGCAGAACCGTACGGCACGCCGCCACCACCACCACCACACACCACCCACACGCACACCGCCACCCAACCTCAACACTGCACCATAGACTCAACACTGCACCATAGACTCAACACTGCCCCATAGACTCAACACTGCCCCATAGACTCAACACTGCCGCATAGACTCAGCACTGCACCATAGACTCAACACTGCACCATAGACTCAACACTGCACCATAGACTCAACACTGCACCATAGACTCAACACTGCACCATAGACTCAACACTGCACCATAGACTCAACACTGCACCATAGACTCAACACTGCCCCATAGACTCAACACTGCCCCATAGACTCAGCACTGCACCATAGATTCAACACTGCACCATAGACTCAACACTGCCCCATAGACTCAACACTGCACCATAGACTCAACACTGCACCATAGACTCAACACTGCCCCATAGAATCAACACTGCACCATAGACTCAACACTGCACCATAGACTCAACACTGCCCCATAGACTCAACACTGCCCATAGACTCAACACTGCACATAGTCTGTATACAACAACAACAACGATGTCCCGCCCCCCGCCCCCCTCCCTCGTCACCACCGCCGCCACCGCCCCAGTGGACGGGCACGGTGCGTGAGAACGCCGTGGGGGTGCCGGTGACGATGGCGCTTCTCTCGGTGATCGACGCGGACGAGGTCGGCACGGCGGCGTGGCGAGTCCGCTACTCACTCCGCGGGGGGGGGGGGGCGGGGGGGGCGGCGTGGGGGGCGGGAGACCCCCAGGACCTGTTCGCCGTGGAGACCGACCCCGCTACCAACGATGGCAGGATCGTCGTTGTCAAGGTAACGCTTGGGAGGGAGGGGAGGGAGGGGAGGGAGGGGAGGGGGGGGAGGGAGGGGAGGAGGGGAGGAGAGGGGAGGGAGGGAGGGGGGGAGGGGGGGAGGGGAGGGAGGGAGGGGAGGGAGGGAGGGGGGGGTGGAAGGAGGGGTTGGAGTGAGGAAAGGGAGGTAGGGGAGGGGGGAGGAGGGAGGGGAGGAGGGGAGGAGAGGGGAGGGAGGGAGGGGGGGAGGGGGGGAGGGGAGGGAGGGGGGGAGGGGGGGAGGGGGGGAGGGGAGGGAGGGAGGGGAGGGAGGGGGGGGTGGAAGGAGGGGTTGGAGTGAGGAAAGGGAGGTAGGGGAGGGGGGAGGATGGAGGGGAGGGAGGGGAGGAGGGGAGGAGAGGGGAGGGAGGGGGTGAAAGGAGGGAGGGAGGGGAGGGAGGGGGGGGTGGAAGGAGGGGTTGGAGTGAGGAAAGGGAGGGAGGGGAGGGGGGAGTAGAGGGAGGAGGAGGTATTTTTTGCACAGACGTCCAGTGGGGGGTGGGGGGTGGGGGGGGGTCACGGGGTCAGAACGTCGCCAGCACTGGGGAGACAAAGGCGGCCGGGCGTGCTGCTGGCTTCCCACCCCCTCGTGTGCCACAGCGCCGGCCTTGCCCCTACAGTCTGCTAAAGCTATACGGGGGATCTTTGTCTTTTGTATGTTCGTGTGTCCGTGTGTGTGTCCGTGTGTGTGCGCGCGTGTGTGCGCGTGTGTGTACGTGTTTGTGTGTACGCGTGTATGTGTGTACGTGTGTGTGTACGTGTTTACGTGTGTGTGTGTGTACGTGTGTGTGTGTGTACGTGTGTGCGTGTACGTGTGTGTGTGCGTGTGTGCGTGTGTGTGTACGTGTGTATGTACGTGTGTACGTGTGTGTGTGTGCGTGTGTGTACGTGTGTGTGTGTACGTGTGTGTGTACGTGTGTGTGTGTGTGTGTTGGTACGTGTGTGTCTGTATGTGTGTGTGTACGTGTACGTGTGTGTACGTGTGTGTGCGTGTGCGTGTGTGTACGTGTCTGTGTACGTGTGTGTGTACGTGTGTGTATACGTGTGTGTGTGTGTGTACGTGTGTGTATACGTGTGTGTGTGTGTGTACGTGTGTGTGTACGTGTACGTGTGTACGTGTGTGTACGTGTGTGTCTGTGTACGTGTGTGTGTACGTGTGTACGTGTGTGTACGTGTTTGTACGTGTGTGTGTACGTGTGTATACGTGTGTGTGTGTCTGTGTGTACGTGTGTGTGTGTGTACGTGTGTACGTGTGTGTACGTGTGTGTACGTGTGTTTGTGTGTACGTGTGTGTACGTGTGTGTGTACGTGTGTGTGTACGTGTGTGTGTGTACGTGTGTACGTGTACGTGTGTGTACGTGTGTACCTGTGTGTACGTGTGTGTGTGTGTGTACGTGTGTATACGTGTGTATGTACGTGTGTGCGTGTGTGTGTGTACGTGTGTGCATGTGTGTGCGTGTGTGTGTGTGCGTGTACGTGTGTACGTGTGTGTGTGTACGTGTGTGTGTGTGTGTGCGTGTGTGTGTGTACGTGTGTGTGTCTGTGTGTGTGTCTGTGTGTGTCTGTGTTGGTGTGTGTACGTGTGTGTGTGTGTGTACGTGTGTGTGTGTGTACGTGTGTGTGTCTGTGTGTGTGTCTGTGTGTGTCTGTGTTGGTGTGTGTACGTGTGTGTGTGTGTGTACGTGTGTGTGTGTGTACGTGTGTGTGTGTGTGTATGTGTGTACGTGTGTACGTGTGTGTGTACGTGTGTGTACGTGTGTACGTGTGTACGTGTGTACGTGTGTGTACGTGTGTACGTGTGTGTACGTGTGTGTATGCCGCAGCCCTTAGACTTTGAGATGGCGTCGTCGTACAAACTCATCGTCGTCGTGGACAACGAGGAGCCGCTCGTGAAATCCGCGTGGACCCCTCCCCAGAGTACCGCCACCGTCACGGTGAGTCACCCCCACGCACCCCCCCCCCACGGCCCCCCCCCACGGCCCCCCACGGCCCCCCCCCCCACGGCCCCCCCATGGCCCCCCCACGGCCCCCCCCCACGCCCCCCCCCCCCACGGCCCCCCAAAAGCTTCACAGCTGCTCGGATTCTCCCGCCACGAACAAAGATTCCCGCGGAAAAGCCGCCACCCCCGCGTCTCTCCCCGCATCTCTCCCCGTGTCTCTCCCCACGTGTCTCTCCCCGTGTCTCTCCCCACGTGTCTCTCCCCGTGTCTCTCCCCGTGTCTCTCCCCGCGTGTCTCTCCCCGTGTCTCTCCCCACGTGTCTCTCACCGTGTGTCTCTCCACGTGTGTCTCTCCCCGTGTCTCTCCCCACGTGTCTCTCCCCGTGTCTCTCCCCACGTGTCTCTCCCCGTGTCTCTCCGCGGCGCCAGGTGAGTGTTGAGGATGAGAACGAGGCTCCGCTGTTTGAGCCGCGGCTGCAGCAGGTGCGGCTGTCCGAGGGCGTCGCTCTGGGCAGCGTCGTCACCACGCTGGTGGCACGGGACCCGGACTCCGCACAGAAGCAGAGCCTGCGGTGAGCACACACACCCCCCGCCCCGCCAAGCGGATAACAACCACAACAACAACCGCAACAACAACCGCAACAATCAAACAACTGTAGGGGTGTTAGAGAGAGCCCGTTATGCATGGGAGCTTATGGCAAACAAACACAGTGGGCGGGGCTACATGAGTGCATGGGAAGGTGCTCTCTACGACGTCCGCGTCAGGCACCCTGGGGGGCTGACTCGGAGTTATGATCCCCTGGGGCCCCACCCCTCAGCGAGGGGGTTGGGTATAAAAGGGGATGTGTCGGAGGGCTAAGGGGGAGAATGTTAAGCTAACCAGTGAAGACTGAAGACGTCTTAGATAGAGCCCTGGACTCCCCTGGTTCGCCGTCCTTATCAGGGCCGAACAGGACCGAGCCAGCGGCGTGGTCCCGAGAGCCAGAGCCGGTGCTCTTGTAAGAGCTGGTCTGGGACTCCGGGTACCGGGCCCGACTTACCAGTGTCGGGCCAGCTAGCCTCCCCTAGCCCGTTAGTGGAGGACTAGGAGGCAGGCTAGGAGTAGCTAGGACGTGTATCCTCAGATAGTCGGGTGAAGGGGCCGATACCCCCTCTAGTGTTGTATGCCACGAACGTGCTGTGTTAAATAAACCCGTGTGCCTCCAACTCCGGCGTCCAAGAGTCGTGAACGCTACTACATCTGGTGTCGGAAGTGAAACAACTACGAACATGGACACGCGCCGGACGACTCGAGTCAGGGTACCAGAGGCGGAGGACGCCGCTGCAGTCGGGGAGCCCGAGACGGCTGAAGATGGCATCGAGCAGCCGGGGCCGGATGCATCCACACCGCAGCAGCCGGAGGATGGGGAGCCGTCGACAGAGGGGCTGAGGCAGGCGCACGCGAAGCTGGCGGAGCTGCTGTACGCCGCTGCCACCATGCTGGACCACATCACACAGCTGGGGGCTGCTGGACCGCTACGGGGCGACGACAGCCGACGACCACAGCGCCTTCCCGCCATTTCGACGGAGCACCACTTTGAAATTCCCGCCATCGCCGCAGCTGCTGCTGAGGGTGTGGCTGGCCTGAGCCTCGCGTCCAACGGCGGCCGTACAGTAGCTGCCACGTCATCTCCAACGGACGGAGCGTCACCACGGGTGCGACCGGCGATGCCATCGGTCGTTCGCGCCGAAGCAGAGCCGGGTGAGGGGGACGAGGGAGAGCGACCTTCCACCGCGGCTGCTGCGTTACATCAGCGGCTACCTCCACTCAAAGAGTTTGTGGGCGAGGACGGCGACTGGGGCGGCTTCCAGCGGCGCTTCCTCGCTCACCAGGAAATGGCGCGGTGGACGGATGACGAGGCTCTCCGCGCGCTGCCGGCACTGCTCGACGGCGACGCTCTCGCCACCCTAACATCGGTGCCAAAGGAGAAGCGCTCCACACTGCAGACGGCACTGCATCTGCTGGCTGCAGTCTACGGGCCACCGTTGGACTGTAGGCAACTCTTTTACGATCGCCAGCGGGGGGCAAAGGAGTCGCCCTTGGCATACCGCACAAGTCTCCTGGCACTGGCAAAGGCGGCCTTCCCACGGATGGACAACGAAGGCGTCGACGCTATGGTTACGGAGAAGATACTCCTGCTGGCAGACGACTTAGATATCGTCATCGTGGCACAGGACGACGCAGAAATGTGTTCCCTCCAAGCTGCACGACTCCTCCACGCAAACCTGCTCTCGCAACGACGGAAGGCCAGCAAGGCGGCGAGCGGGCGTGCCGTGGCTGCAGTCACCCTCCCGGCGGAAGAGATCTGCGCCATCGACCGTCAACGGCAGCAGGGAGCGGGAGCACGGGCGGACCGGGACGGATCGAGCCACCTCGACCGTCCATCGTCATCGCCAGCGCTCCCGCGCTGTTACAACTGCGGTATCCGGGGCCATGTCGCCTCGGGGTGCCGCTCTCCTCGGCAGCGCGGGACGACACCTCGACGGAACGCCGGCCCTCTTCTCAAGCTCCATCATCATAACCCGGCGAGTCGCGGCACCCCTCATGTTTGGGCCACGCACACACCCGTCACACACTCGCACACCGTAGCGAACGGGGGGCCGACTTTGCACACCATCGCACCAACACGCACCACTGTGGGGACTCATATCGAACCCAGCCAGTAGTCCGTGTTGGCCCATCGCGTTGTAGCCACATCGTCGGGGTCGTCAGCCGTTGTGGGGCACATTGACGGGGTTGAGGTGCGCATCCTGGTCGATACGGGAGCATCGGCGACCATCATTTCGGAATTAATTTACAATATTCTCCCTGTCCAGAGCCGTCCTTTGATGCCCGTTAACGTGCCATTCTATGCTGCTAACGGGGGCTCACTTGGCATCATTGGACAAATTCGAGCGCAAATTTGTATCGGTGATATTAAATTGTCTGGGCCGATTTTTGTCTCCTCCTCGCTGGCGGTTCCGTGCCTGCTGGGGACGGACTTCCTGGCCAAAATGCCGATTAGGATATTAATCGACCAGGGCTGCATTGAGCTCCCGTCGGGCCGACGCATGGCGTTTCTGCCGTCCCCCGTTGCGAGTCGGACGGCGTTCGCGATGGTGCCGGCGTTCGTAGATAGAACGGTGCGCGTACCGCCGGGGGCACAAATGTTGATACCTCTAAAACTTCGGCGGCCCTTCGCTAAGGGCATTGGGGCCTAGGGGGTTCTGCTGGGGCCGTCTAGGGCCGGGGTTAGCGGACCTCATTTAGTTCTGGCACAGACCATCGTTAGAGGGGACGGGGATCCCTTCATCGCGGTCCTCAATGTGGGGTCGCAGACGGTGGTGGTCCCACAGGGGACCGTGCTTGCTCACGCAACGCCGGTGCCCTGTGAGGAACCCGTCGCGAACCACGCAAGCGCTGTCCCTACGCCGCGACCACATTCGGACAGCGATGAAGGGTGGCTCGAGGCGCTTTGTGCGGGATCGACGGACCTGTCAAATTTAGAGCGTCAACAACTTAAAACACTACTGTGTGAATTTTCTGACGTTTTCAGTCGGAACAAATACGATTTGGGCTGCACTCATCTGCTGCGTCACCATATTGATACAGGTGACAGCGCGCCAATACGCCAGAATCCTTTTCGGTTAAGTCCCGCCGAAAAGGACCATGTCAAATCGGCTGTGGATGACATGTTAGCCGCCGACATCATTTCTCCTTCCACCAGCCCTTGGGGAGCGCCGATCGTCCTAGTTAAGAAACAGGACGGTTCGTTGCGGTTTTGCGTCGATTTTCGTCGCCTTAACAAAATTTCGGTTGCCGACGCATACCCGCTCCCACGGATGGACGAATCGCTTGACGCCTTGGCGGGAGCGCGATTCTTCTCCACGTTGGATTTACTTTCGGGATTCTGGCAGCTTCCTCTGGACGATGATTCAAAGCCTAAAACTGCATTCCGTACACCGCACGGCCTGTTCCAATTCAACCGGTTGCCGATGGGACTCCACTCAGCGCTGGCAACTTTCCAGCGATTGATGGAATTGGTTTTGGCTGGATTGCAATGGGACTCGTGCTTGATTTATTTGGATGACGTTATCATCTTTAGTAAAACATTTGACGAACATCTCCAGAGGTTGCGGGTGGTTTTTCTCAAAATGCGGGCTGCTAATTTGAAATTTAAACCCCAAAAATGTCATCTGTTACGCGAATCTGTGCGTTATTTGGGACACATCGTGGGGCGCTCAGGTATTGCTACCGATCCCGCCAAAACGCAGTGTGTCAGCTCCTGGCCGACTCCCACCTCGGTGGGAGAGGTCAGGAGTTTCATTGGATTTGCGTCATATTACCGACGGTTTGTCGCGGATTTTGCGACAATTGCGAAACCCCTACACACGTTGACGTCCAAAGGGGTTCGGTTCCATTGGGGACAGGAGGAGGAGGCTGCTTTCCGCTCCCTTCGGGACGCTCTGGTTAAAGCTCCTCCCTTGGTTTACCCCGATTTTTCAAAACCCTTTTTGCTCGACACCGATGCGAGCAATACGGGTATTGGGGGCGTGCTTTCCCAGGTGGTTGACGGCGTGGAACGGGTGGTCGCGTACGGTAGTCGGGTGTTGTCTCCAGCGGAGCAAAGATATTGTGTCACCCGTCGGGAACTGTTGGCAATTGTCTACTTCATCCAACAGTATCGCCCATATCTGTACGGTCGGCATTTCACCGTCCGCACAGATCATGCGGCGCTACAGTACGCCCTGCGAGTTCAACAACCATCGGGACAATTGTCTCGATGGTTGGAGATTCTCCAGGACTTTGATTTTGAAACCACCTACCGTAAGGGCGTTCGCCATACCAATGCGGACGCCCTGTCGCGCATGCCAACCACCTCCGAATGTGCATGCCTCCTGGGGTCGGGACGTTGCAGGCCTCCGGGGGACATATCTGTTCCGGTCTTGGCGGCCGCCGACGACGCAACATTGCTTACAAATTCGATAGCACAACAGGGAAGAGATTCCCTGTTGGGGTTGCCCGTCACTGAATGGGGGCGCCTCCAGATGGAGGATACCTCCCTCCTCGCGTTGCGTCGTCGCGTCGGCGGTGCTGGGCGGGGGAGGGGTGATGCCGACTCATGGGAAATGGTCCAAGGCCTGCTGATGCATTGGGACAGGAGATCCCATCGACACCGGCTGGTGGTCCCTTCTGGGTTGCGGGGCAAGGTGGTGTGGGCCGCTCATGAGCGCCTCCTCCACCTGGGGACCCAAAAGACCCTCGCCTTGCTCCAACTTGATTTTTTTTGGCCAGGCATGACGAGGGATGTCGGCGATTTGTTGGGGTCATGCCCTCGATGTGCGCAACGGAAACCGCCAGCACGGGAGTCTAACCCACCTTTGCAATCGATCAAAGTGTCCAGAGTAAACGAGCTTGTCGCGCTGGATATTTTGGGCCCATTCCCCGCCACCCCCAGGGGCAATAGATATTTGTTGACCGGTGTGGAGTATTTTACGCGCTGGCCTATGGCCTGGCCCCTTGCCAACCAGTCGGCAGCAGCCATTGTGGAGGCCTT